AAAAAAAAAAAAAATTAAAAAAAAAAAAAAAAAAAAAAAAAAAAAAAAAACAAATAACGATAAAGAATATAAAAAAATAAATTCAATTTTTCTAATTCTTATAAATATTTTTCCAATTATAATACCTTAAAAATTAAAGATACTAAATATTAATAAGAGAATCTAATAATATATTAGGATTGAATCACTATTAAAAAATAAAATAAAAAGTTAAAGCTAATTTATATATATTAAAAATATGTACATATTAACATATGAAAAGAAATAATAGAAAAAAAAAAAAAAAAATGTAAATAAATAAAAATCAGAAAATGTTAATTTTAGTATTTTTTTTATTTTTTTGATAAGTTATATTTCACTATGGCAGTATTTACGTTTACAATAAATGCAATAAGGGAAACACTTTTATCATATGAAGCTTCTGATAAATACGAAAAATGAGAACATAACTTAAGAAAATAGCATTTTAATTTATAATCATAATTACTTCTTAATAGGTATTTAATAGTTGTTTCAAAAATAAAATTAACAGGTATTTGGCATGTTATTAAACTCTGAATTTTTGTTACACATTCCTTCATTTTTGTTTGAGTTGGGTTTATAAAAACAAAATCACATAGTTCATTTATATAAGTGGCAGCAACTGATAAAGATTGATGTGGCTTTGTTGAATTTGCATACACTGTCATTTCTAAAGCCATGATGCATTTCCTTAAATTTCTTCCATGTGTTTCTATTAAATTTTTAAAAAAAGATTGTGAACTAAAAGATTCAGAAACATTTTCGTTGTCACATATATTTTTTAAAACACTAAAAATCTCTTCTTCTGTAGGCAATGGAACTCTTATGCAAATACATCTACTTTTTAATGGTTCTATTATTTTAGATAAATGTTCTAAATGTAAAATAACTCTTGCATTTCTTATATACGTTTCTAATGTTCTTCTTAATCCTGCTTGAGCCCCTTCACTTAAAAATTCAGCATCTTTAAAAACAAAAATTCTATACATAGGAGTTTTAGAAAAAAAGGAGGCACTAGATTTATAACTACATAATTCTTTAATAATACTTTGAACAATAATTTTATCTTTGCTTCCTAATTCAAAACATTGTAATTCTAAATGATAATTACTTTGAACTACGTTTATATTTATTTTATTTTCTACATTTGTTATACATTCAGGTCTTCTAATTATTTTTTCTTCTTTAAATATTTCTTTTATTAAGCAATCTATTCTAGTGCTTTTTCCACCTCCAGGTGTGCCATAAAATATTATATGGGGTAAATCTTTATGAGCACTTAATTTTTTTAACCTCTCCGTTATATCTTTATGAATTGTTAATTCGTCTAAACTCTGAGGAGCATATTTCTCCAACCACATTTTTGATAAACTTAAATTCGAAATAAATTCAGAAAAAAAAAAAAAAAAAACTCAAAAAAACATGAAAATTTTACTTTATAACAAAATATTTTAAAAAAAAAAAAAAAAGGTAAAAAATAAAAACAAGATATTTCAAATTAAAATTTTTTTATAAAGAATAAATAAACATACATATACATAAATTTATATATGTGCATAAATTAATAAATAAAATTAGAGACATATAAATATTTATTATCGCATAAATATTTATATTTTCAAATTACAACAAATAAGATAAAAAAAGGTATATCACAAAAATTTAAAAAAAAAAAATTAAATAGTAAGTAAAATATGCTAATACATTATTTTTTTTTTTTTTTTTTTTTACAGGTTTTATAATTTCTTTTAAATATAATATTATTTTATTATTTTAAATTTATAAAATAAAAAAAAAGTATAGTAAATTTTTCCTTTTTCCTTTAAACCTATATAAATTCCATTTTGTATTTTTCTTTTTTATTTTAAAAAAATCTACATTTCCCAATTTACTTTTTACTTTTTCTTACTTTTATATCTATCATAATTATGTCAAAATATATGAAATACTTAAGTAATCTTTTTATTTATCTTTTTATTAAAGAATTTTTATTTTAAAATATGAAAAATATGTTATATTACTATGAGATGTAAAAGAAATATTCATAAAAAAAAAAAAAAAAAAGGAAAAAAAAAAGCTTCAAAAATGTGTTAAGAAGTTCTAATAATGAGAAATGTATATATATAATAAAGATATTTAATAAAATATTTTTATTTAAGCAAAAAATATTAAAAAAAAAAAAAAAAAAAAAAAAAAAAAAACTAAAAAGCCATTTAACTACTAATTCATAATTTTATAATAAAGATTATCCAACATAAATTTCTAAAAAAAATTTAATAAATAATAATTATAAAAATATACAGTGCACTTTTATATTAATTTTAAATTACGTTGAAATTATATCATTTTCATACAAATATTTAGTCTTAATATTTAAATATGTAATTTCGATTAATTTATTTTTTTCAAAATAATTATTCATTATTTTTTCTTAAGTTAAAAATACACATTTTCAAAAAAAAAAATATTAAAATTTTTATTCCATAAAGAGAAATAACATAAAAATATTTATTATACTTAAAAAAAAAAATGAAATAAAATAAATTAAAGATGTCTTACAAAAAAAAAAAGATAAATAATTAAAAAAAAAAAAACCATATTAACCTCAAAAAAAAAAAAAAACATTTTGAATAATAATAAATAACGATTTTCTTTATATTTCTAAAAAAGTGAGGTAATGATTAAATTATTTTATTACAAGAATATTTAGATTAAAAATAAAAACAGAGATCAAAATAAATATATATGTTCATTTTTGAAATAAACATATTTAATATATATGTTAATATAAATGTGATAAAAAAATATATGTAATCATATATATTTTAAGAAGAAATATTGTACATATAAATATGGGGTAAATAAAAAAAAGAACTAATTTTAAATGTAAAGTTATTAAAAAAATAATAGTAACAAAAATAAAACGCAAAATTTTTCTCTTAATTTATCAAAGACTTAAAAAAATAAATACATTATTATAAGATCATCATCACATAAAAAAAAAAAAAAAAAAAAAATCCTTTTTATAATATATATAATTAGTAATATTATATTTTTACTCCATATTAGAAAAACTTGTTAAATTCAACTAAAATTCAATCTTTCGGATAAATTTTTGTTTTTCTCATGTTCTATTTTTAATTCATTTATTCTGTCTTTTATAATTTTTTCTCTTTCTTCATGAACACATTCTAATCTTTGATAACTATAAATAAAAAGGTGAAAAAAATGTAATTATATTATAAAGGTAAATATAATAATAGTAATTACATATATAAAAATGTTTAAATCATATATTTGAATAACATTAATTTTATAAATATATATATATATATTTAAAATTTAATCAAAACGACTAATAAAAAATATCTTTTTCATAAAAAAAATAATATACAAGTGCAATAAAAAAGAAGAAAAATAAAAATAACTATAAAAAAAAAAAAAAAAAAAAAAAAAAAAAACATTAATTACCTTATATCTTGTGATAGAATATCGATTAATTTTTTATAGTTTTCTTCTTCATCTGAATTATATTTAATAAAATTTGATTTTTTTAAATAATCTTTAAATATTTGTTTTGCTTCTTTTATTTTATAATATTTCCATTTCAAGTAGACTTTTTCTAAATGTTCATATTTTAAAGATGTAAAAATTTTGTTATTTTTATCAATTAATTTTATTATTTCATCAAGAGATTTATTAATAAAATTAATTGATAAATCAGCTAAATATTTATCAAAAGTTTTCAGTTTTATATTTATATAATTATTTATAAATTCCCTGTATATATGAAATTTTTCATTATCACTTAAAGATAATTTTTTATATTCTTCATTAATGGTTATATTATCAGGAATGGAGCATAATTCTTCAAAACTTTTTTTTTTATTAATACAAGTATCATATTTCAAAATATCATCATTTATAACAGGGAATTTTAATTTTTCAAATAATATTCCTAAAAAAATATTTTTTTCGTTTCTATTTACTTTACTTTTTTCTGATTGACCTTTGTTATTTAAATATAAGTTTCTATCTTCTCTTCTTTTGTTTTTATCTTTTATATTATTTAAAAGTTTCTCACTGACACTTTCAAATATTTTGTTTTTTTTATCATGGGAAAGGATTTCATATTTTTCCTTTTTTATTAAATTATTTTTTATCTTTATCCATCTTTTTGGATTTTCATCTTTTAAATAATCATTTAAAATTTTTTCAAATTTCTTTTCTACACTTTTTTCTTTTTCTTTTTTTTTTTTTTCTAAAAATTTTTTCAACAATTTATTTCTAATATTTTTCCAATATTCAGAATTATTCCCTTTATACTCGCTTTTATCTTTTAAAAAATTAATTGCATCTGATTCCTTGAAAGTGTAAAAAAATTCTTCTTTTTTATTTAATAAATTTTGAAAATTTTCCGTTAGTATCTTTAATTCCATCTTTTTATCTTCATGAATTTCTTTTATTAATTTATAAAAATATTCTTTTCTCATATCTTTTGGCACACTTAAAAATCTACTATCATATAAAATATTTGCTAATACGTTTTCATATTTCGAAAATTCACTTAACTTTTTTTCTATGAGAAGATTTTTATACTCTTTCAAAGTAACTTCAATATTTTGATTTTCATTATTTGTTTTTACATTATCATTATTATTATCATTATTATCATTATTATCATTATTATTATTATTATTATTATTATTATTATTATTATTATTATTATTATTATTATTATTATTATTATTATCAATTTCTTCTTGGATATAAATTTTCTTTTCTTTATTTTCTTTTTTCAATATTTCTTCTAATTCTAAAGGGTAATTCCATGTTTTCTCATTTGTTTTTTTATTAAAATAAAATTTATAACTTTTACTTGTTTCTATAATAAACCAATTTTTACTATTTTCTATATATTCCCAACTATATGGTACACCAACATAATATTCCTGTTCTTCTTTTGATAAGTTATCATATTTACTTCTATTAATATCAATTATATTCTTATAATTTTTATTCTTATTCATATTTTCATTTTCTATTTTACTCTCCATTTTTCCTTTTTATTCTTTTTTTTTTTTTTTTTTTTTTAAAAAAAGAATAAAGTTCTCAGTTCCTATTTTTTTTTTTTTTTTTTTTTTTTT